TGCCTGGAATTTATTTTTTTGTTTTCTGTTTTTTGTTTTTGCAAGGAGAGCGGCTGACACCCCCCCCGGGCAAAAAACTCCCAGCTGGAGGGACCTGCCTAAGTTGCCAAGGGAGGCTGTGTGCTCTGACCCTCTGGCACCTCACTTCAGCCCTGGCTATACAGGCCCCTTCTGACCTCGCCAGCGGCCTGATTTCAAGGGAAACCACCAGGGAGGCCTGTCGGATCCTTGGGCTCTTCTACGTCCCCCAGATTTTATAACTCCTGTGCCTCAAGAATAAGGGACGGGGACGTGAAAGCCCACAACTTCCTTGTGACCCCACAAAGCTATCACCCAGTCCTGATGGTTGCCCCAGACCCCAGCAACCTATGGGTGCAATACTTCCCAGACCAGGGTAGGGGGTGGGGGTGTGGAGGCTGGACGGAGATGTCTCTGTCCCATCCTGGGGCTGAAAGGGGCTCACTTTGTCTCCGTCGCCTTTGCCCACAGACTTTGAATGGAGCCACTGACAGGCTGCTTTAGAGAGGCCACGGACTTTGCTGGTGGCACCTAGCAGAACATGCTGTTCCATGGCACCACACACACACACACACACAGAGAGAGAGAGAGAGAGAGAGAGAGAGAGAGAGGGTCACTGGCACAGCAGTTTACAGTCAGGAAAAGGGAGGAGGGAGAGAAGCAAGGCAAGAGTGGCCAGTCCCGTTCCCCCCCCCCCCCGCCCAGAGCCCTTCAGCATATCCCTCTGTGGATCCTTCTTCAAGGAGAATGGAAGTGGGTGCAACGAGGCACCAATTCCTCTCCCCCTCCCCCATTGTGCTCCTGAAATTGTGCACTTCAGACACAGCTGGGATGGCCTCCGTTTCCATCTGGGCCTAGAGAGATGTGCATGTGCGCGCATGAACAGATTTTGACCGTTAGTCACAATTCTTCCCCCAACCTTGGACAAAGCCCTCTCCCCTCCTCCCCCGCTCCTCCACCCACCCCACGGAAACCTCTTTCACGCTTCCGACCATTCCCGCTAGGCTCCGTGGCTTGCGTGGCAGAAGTGGTCTCAATGCCACGGCCGGCCATGGGGAAAGGCCAGGCCAGCGGCTGCGCCACATCCGGCGGCTCAGCGACGCCCTTGCGATGCCGCTCCCTGGAGCCCTCGGATGCCGCCGCATCCGCTGGGTGGCCCTGTGAGCCTTCCTGGCTCCTGGAGACCGACCGACACTTCCTTGAGCCGCGCGGACTTCAAGGGGGCCCTCGTTCTTTCCTCCCTCTGACAATTGCACACGGTCCTCAGTATTCCTTCCCTCCCACACTTGTGACTCATAATGCATACACATGTGTACACACACACACACACACAGAGGGGGGGCCTGTGAAGCTGGCCTTTTGTAACACGGTCTATGAGTGGCAACTCCTGCCTTTTTCTCCTGCCCAACCAAGGGGAGAGGGAGAGAAGGAAGGAGAACCCCCCCCCCAAGGACCCCTACACCAGCTTTGTATTCCTGGGCCAGAGGAGAGAAAGTGTGTGGGGGTGGGGGTGGGGGGGATGGTTTTCCTGAGCAGAAGGCAAAAGCTCATGACCGAGCGGCTGGGCCAGCTTAANNNGCCAGCTTAAGGGCCAGGTGGGGGGGGGCCTGCAGGGCCTGACCCTGATGCCAGTCCAGCCCAGCTGGGAAGCCGGACCAGGGAAGGGCCAGGGCGTGCCCACCTGGGGCCCAGGGGGAGGCTCAGGCAGGACGTGCAGGAGGGAGAGATGGCGGCAAGCCCCGGTTCCGGCCTGGGTGTCTCCGCCCACCTGGAACAAAGCTGTCTGCAGCTGCTCAGGAAAACACACACAGAGAGAAAAGAGGCAAGGCCGCTTCCTGGGAGGCCAGCCCCGGAGGATGGGGACGGGCGTGGGTGGCCTGTGAGCAGCCGCCCAGGGCTGGGGAGCAAGGAGAAGGGAAAGGCGCCTGTCCCTCTGCCCCCTCTGCGCCTCAAAGCTGGCTTGGGAGCCCCTGCCGGGAGGGGAGCAGACACCCCCCCTTGCCTGGCCATGCAGGTGCACCACCAGGAGGCCTGGCCCTGGCTTTGGGCCCTGGGATCCCGCCCAGTCCCCAGTCTGGCCCCTCCCCCTCCTGCTGAGGCTCCCCTCCTTCTGATGAAGAAGGCATGGCCAGGGAGGGCAGGGGGGGCCCGGGACAGGGGTGGGGGTGGGCCTGCCTCCTCCCCAGACTGCTGGCTGCCCTTCCTCGCTGGTGTCTGAGGCTAAAAAGCCAAAGCTAGAAAACTGTCCAAAACATTTTGCTGCCTGAGATGGAGGAGGCCATGGTCGCTTCTCCCATCCTGGTACAGAAGAAAACCTCTCCCCCCCACACACACACACCACCACCACAAAAACACAGATAGTTTAGTCACTAATGGCTTTTCTAGCTTTTCACAACCCCCCAGCTTTCCTGCCTGAGACAGGTCGGCCCTTCAGGGTTGGAGGGACTGGTTGTGTGTGTGTGCGTGTGTGTGTGTGTGTTTTGGGGGAATGCACTCTGCACATGCACAGGGCCCCCCTGCGGGAGCCTTCTGCCTGCCTGCCTGCTTTGCTAGGGAGCGTGAGTTCTGGCCAGTCCCAAGAAAGCCCGGGGGATGCCATTGACACGTGCCCAAGACGTGCTCACGACTTGTCCGCACCCGCAGGCACGATCGCCGCCACGCTTCTTTCTGCTCCTGGCGCCTCGGCGGGCGAGCTGCGCACAGAGCCGCTTCCCATCCCGCCGGAGTCGCCTTGCCGGAGGCCTGCGAAGCGGAGCGGCCAG